TGGCATAAACCGCTGGACAATTTCTCACTCAATCAGACTACTCCCACAGGATACACATACATTGAACAACTTCGCCTTGAGGGGCGGGGCGGTGGTGTTGCCGCTCTTTATAGAAAGGATATTAAAGTAACCACCATCCCCATTCCTGCAACCAATTCATTTGAAGACATCACCTTCAAAATCTCTGGTCCCACTCTGTTAGTAACAGCCATTATCTACCGCCCCCCAAAGCAAAACCCCTCTTTTCTATCTGACTTCTCTGATTTTTTGACCCAGTTATGTGCCATCTCACCTTCCATTCTCCTCCTCTGTGATTTTAATTTCCACATTGACAACATTAACTGTAAATCTGCCATAGTTTTCATGGAACTGATGCAATCCCTCAACCTCACACAACATGTCAACTTCCCAACCCACAGTCGCGGTCACATTCTGGACTTGCTCCACTGGTCTTACAATACATCACCTCTCCAGCCTCAACCTCCATATCGCAGACCACTTGGCAATCACCTTGGACATTGACTTCCCTATCCCTACCCCCCCAAAAAAATGCTAAATTCAGAAATCTGAAATCCATCTCCCCCTCAGCTTTCTCAGCCTCTCTTGCTAGTGTAATGTCTGCCTCCCCTCCCCCACTGTCTGATAATCCCTCCAACCTTGTCAGCTACTACAACAACATACTCTCCTCCTGTCTCGACCAGCTAGCTCCTCTCAAAACTTAAACAGTCTCATTCACACACTCAGCCCCCTGGTATACTCCTGAACTCCACAAAATGAAGTTCCGTAAACGCCAGCTCAAAAGACTCTCCAAGAGAACCGGATTAACAGTACATCTCCAAGCCTATACAGACTATCTTCAGCAATACAAAACTGCTCTCACTACAGCCTGGTCCACCTACTACTCACAGCTCATAAATTCTGGCTCCACCAGTCCCAAGGCTCTCTTCTCCACCATAAACTAACTTCTCAAACCCTGCGACAACACCTTCACGTACTTCACAGTTGACAAGTGTAACTATTTCCTTTAATTTTTCCAGACAAAAATTGACTCCATCTACAGCAACCTGTCCTCTACCCCCGCCCCCACTCTCTTCAACCCTCCACCTGTCTCTCCCCTGTCCACCACTCAGCCTCTCACTCAGATCTCCCCAGCGGAGCTGCCCAAGTTGATGGCTGGAATGAAAAACTCCACCTGTGCTCTCGACCCTATCCCATAAAAACTTGTTAAAGACTGCCTCCTTGCCATCTTCTCAATCATCACAGAAATAATCAACTCATCCTTCAGTTCCGGTTCAGTCCCTCAAACACTCAAACTGGCCGCTGCCATCCCCATCCTCAAAAAACCTGGACTGGATCCTGACGACATGAATAATTTCCGACCCATCTCAAATCTCCCCTTTCTGTCTAAAATACTAGAACTTGCTGTTGCCTCTCAACTTAAAGCCCACCTCTCCTCCAACAATCTGTTTGAATCATTTCAATCTGGCTTCCACTCACAGCACAAAAACCGCCCTCCTCAAAGTCACCAATGATCGCCTCCTCTCCTCAGACTCCGGTCACCTCTCAATTCTCATCCTTCTTGACCTCACACCAGCCTTTGACACAATCAACCACACAATTCTCATTTCCTGTCTCGAATCTTCCCTCAGCATCACCAGTACTGCTCTCTCCTGGCTAAGGTCATACCTCACAAACCTACATCTGTTTGTCAATATTAACAACTGCACTTCCTCCCTTGCTCCTCTGTCCCAAGGTGTCTCCCAGGGTTCGGTGCTTGGTCCCCTCCTATTCATCCTCTACATGCTCCCCCTTGGCAAAATCATTCGCAGCCATGGTCTCAACTTCCACTGCTACGCTGATGACATCCAGCTCTACATCTCCACTACAGCATCACCACTGAAATTTGTTACACTGACCACCTACCTCAACAACATCAAGTCCTGAGATGCAAGCCAACTTTCTCAAACTGAACTGTGAAAAATCAGACATCATCATCATTGGTCCCAAATCCCTCACCAAAACCTCTCACAACTTCTGCCTCACCATTGACAATTCCACTCTGCATTCCTCTCCACATACAGTACAGGCCAAAAGTTTGGACACACCTTCTCATTCAATGCGTTTTCTTTATTTTCATGACTATTTACATTGTAGATTCTCACTGAAGGCATCAAAACTATGAATGAACACATGTGGAGTTATGTACTTAACAAAAAAAGGTGAAATAACTGAAAACATGTTTTATATTCTAGTTTCTTCAAAATAGCCACCCTTTGCTCTGATTACTGCTTTGCACACTCTTGGCATTCTCTCCATGAGCTTCAAGAGGTAGTCACCTGAAATGGTTTCCACTTCACAGGTGTGCCTTATCAGGGTTAATTAGTGGAATTTCTTGCTTTATCAATGGGGTTGGGACCATCAGTTGTGTTGTGCAGAAGTCAGGTTAATACACAGCCAACAGCCCTATTGGACAACTGTTAAAATTCATATTATGGCAAGAACCAATCAGCTAACTAAAGAAAAACGAGTGGCCATCATTACTTTAAGAAATGAAGGTCAGTCAGTCTGGAAAATTGCAAAAACTTTAAATGTGTCCCCAAGTGGAGTCGCAAAAACCATCAAGCGCTACAACAAAACTGGCACACATGAGGACCGACCCAGGAAAGGAAGACCAAGAGTCACCTCTGCTTCTGAGGATAAGTTCATCCGAGTCACCAGCCTCAGAAATGGCAAGTTAACAGCAGCTCAGATCAGAGACCAGATGAATGCCACACAGAGTTCTAGCAGCAGACCCATCTCTAGAACAACTGTTAAGAGGAGACTGCGCCAATCAGGCCTTCATGGTTAAATAGCTGCTAGGAAACCACTGCTAAGGAGAGGCAACAAGCAGAAGAGATTTGTTTGGGCCAAGAAACACAAGGAATGGACATTAGACCAGTGGAAATCTGTGCTTTGGTCTGATGAGTCCAAATTTGAGATCTTTGGTTCCAACCGCCGTGTCTTTGTGAGACGCAGAAAAGGTGAACGGATGGATTCCACATGCCTGGTTCCCACTGTGAAGCATGGAGGAGGAGGTGTGATGGTGTGGGGGTGTTTTGCTGGTGACACTGTTGGGGATTTATTCAAAATTGAAGGCACACTGAACCAGCATGGCTACCACAGCATCCTGCAGCGACATGCCATCCCATCCGGTTTGCGTTTAGTTGGACGATCATTTATTTTTCAACAGGACAATGACCCCAAACACACCTCCAGGCTGTGTAAGGGCTATTTGACCAAGAAGGAGAGTGATGGAGTGCTGCGGCAGATGACCTGGCCTCCACAGTCACCGGACCTGAACCCAATCGAGATGGTTTGGGGTGAGCTGGACCGCAGAGTGAAGGCAAAGGGGCCAACAAGTGCTAAACACCTCTGGGAACTCCTTCAAGACTGTTGGAAAACCATTTCAGGTGACTACCTCTTGAAGCTCATGGAGAGAATGCCAAGAGTGTGCAAAGCAGTAATCAGAGCAAAGGGTGGTTATTTTGAAGAAACTAGAATATAAAACATGTTTTCAGTTATTTCACCTTTTTTGTTAAGTACATAACTCCACATGTGTTCATTCATAGTTTTGATGCCTTCAGTGAGAATCTACAATGTGAATAGTCATGAAAATAAAGAAAACGCATTGAATGAGAAGGTGTGTCCAAACTTTTGGCCTGTACTGTATCTGCAACCTCGGAGTCATTTTCGACAATAACCTCTTGAAAAACACATCAGTCACATTACCAGTACTGCCTTCTTCCACCTAAAAGACATAGCTCATATCCGCTCATCGTTCTCCCCCACTGCTGCTGAAACTCTCATCCATGCCTTCATTACATCCAGAATTGACTACTGCAACAGCATTCTCTACGGAACACCATCTAAACTCCTGAAGAAACTCCAGTATATCCAGAACTCTGCTGCCCGTCTGCTCACCCATTCTCCATCCCGCGATCACATCACCCCTGTCCTTCAGAACCTCCACTGGCTCCCTGTCCCACAACACATCCAATACAAAGTCCTTCTCCTCACCTATAAAGCCCTCCATAACCAGGCCCCCTCCTAATTCACTAACCTACTCCATCGCCACACTCCTTCCCACAGCCTCTGCTCCTCTGATGCCAACCTCCTGACTCCACCACTCAGGACCAAGCACCGGACCTGGGGCGACAGGGTCTTCTCCATAGCTGCCCCCTCCCTCTGGAACACTCTCCCCAAACACATTCGAGACTGCACTGACCTCTCCAAGTTCAAATCATTACTAAAAATACATATTTTCAAAATGGCTTTTAATGTGTGAATGATGTTGTGTGTATTTTATTGTATTCTATCTTATGATTTTTTAACCAATGTAAAGCATCTTTGAGTACCTTAAAAAGTGCTCTATAAATAAAACGTATTATTATAATTGTTATTATCATTAAATGCTCGTATTGATTGAACTGACAGATTACATTTCACTGAAAATGTATTCATAAGATTTCATGTATAATAAAAAATAAAAAATTGATTTTTTGATTGACAGTTCTAGTGTTGCAGCACACTGCATACGGTTACCCATGGCCGGACATTGATTTACAGCCAACAGTCAGCCTGGTGTGTCAAGTCAAAGTCAAAAGTCAAGTCAAAGTGCCTTTATTGTCATTATATTGAGAACAATACAGAGTCCTTACACTATATTGTGTTTTCCTTTTAAAAGACCCATTAATATGTTTTACTTTTTACACACAAATACTTATCTGTCAGTCAGCCACTGCTTTCCTGTTTTGTGCAATATAAAAATAAGTTTGAAGAAACTGAGATGTGCTCCAGTCATCACTGTGAACATGAGGTTTACTTTTACTATTCTTAAAGTTATGTTGTGTGGTGATGCATTTGAGTCATCACTTGACTAGAGGGTAAACGTGAAGAGAAAATGTTAAGACGGTTAAAATTAACTGGTAGTGTCCTAAGTGTTTATGTATGTTGTTATCTACCTTCCAGTAGATGCTTGAGGTCCCACAGGAAAGAGTAGTGCTCACGGCGGATTGCCAGGAACACGATGCCAGCCTTCCCCACAGCATCTTCATGGTGGGTCACATCCACCACATGAGGAAATGACTGGGCTACCAGTTTGGGATGGCGGCTTCCTACCACCACATGGAAGCCACATCGCAGCAGACGGATGGTCAGGCACTTGGAGAAGTCACCTGAGCCCAGGATGGCCACTGTGGGCTGGGCAAGCAGATGGGCAGTCTCTACATCTCCAATTCGGCTCTTTGTGCCATTGGGCAGGAAACAGGTCTGTGTGTGTCGGAGGTGGTGGGAGGATGGGGCTGTGAGGAACACAGGGCTCCTGCTGCCCATCATAGAGATAGAGTCCATCTTTCTTTCCTGTCACTTCTTCTGTGGTTTTCTGCTTAGGAGGATTTCAGTGGGTCTAAGTGAGGTAAGAGGAAAAGAAAAGAAGGGCAGGATTAAAGCACCATTAAATGATTGGTTTTCTTGGGCATTTATTTTTGGCATCCCATGGGGTACAGTAGAATGACTCTGCATCAGCTTTGGCCATTAATTATTTTCCTGTGGCACAAATGTTAAAATGAAACATCTCAGCAAATTACGATGAGCTCTACACATGCTCAGATTTTAACTACTGCAACTACAACAGCTACAGGTACAGTTACACCTTGTTACCAGTGTGTTCAGTGGTGCAGATAGCACATGTACATTTATATGTACTAAGATGTAACCTCTTAGACATTACTCGTAATCTAGAACTTAAAATTTATAACTGTTACATCACCAGTTATTTCATCCATTTTATATTGTGTTTAACTGAGTTTAATGTTATTATACAGTAAAATCAAGAAGAATCCTTACTGTCTTAGGCAAGAACCCTCAGAGAAGTCTTGCAATGCACCCCTTGCCCCTGCCACTTAGCCCTTACCCCTCTATTATGCTGTTCATGTCTAGGGATATGGTTTTCCCGATTCTTGTTGGGATAGGGGGTTAAGTGTCTGGGCTACGCGGTTCACCAAACAAAGGTTTTTCAGAGGCAAAGAGTTAAGAGAAATCATTGGCAAGATGACTGTGCAAGGAACAAAATAGACCACACATGTTTTTTTGTCATTAATATATTTTAAAACTATGATAACCATAATATTGTCTTTGTTTAATGTTGTTTTAATGTATTTTGGTCCTTTTCTTCATAACAAGCACAACAAACATATACAACATACCACTATGCAAAATTCTATACATCCTTTGAATATCCTATTGATCATGTTTCCACATGTATTTTGTATCCAATCTGTGTTAAAACCTCATATTTTGAAAGGCAGAGGTAGTCACATATGTGTCCTAGGCTGAAAAAAAAAGCCCTCCAATGAATGATTAAGAAAAGTCAAATCAAACATTGACTGAAGAAATTACTGCATGGTATTAAATCATGAGATGTAGAAATATACGCACATCACTTAGTTTGGGTGCTGGGCTGAATGAAAAACTTAAGAAAAAAGAGAGAAAAAGCCCGCACACTCTCATTATGCTTCAGAAATCTTTACTAGTTAGACAACGTTTCAAGCATGTCAGCTCTTCATCAGGTCATCTTACAAGTAATGTGTTTTTCACCCATATATGTAGACTCCCACTGGTGACCTCATAAATCATGGGTGGTCATTCACAAAAATATTTACACACATTATACTTAGGCTATTGTAAACATACATAATTGATCACTGATGATAACTATATCAAAAATATATTAGGCAACATCAGGTTAAAAAATAATACATATATCACACCAGGTGTTAACAATTATCAACTACAGAAAATGATGATTGGGGAAGTCCTCATTCATGCCTTTGGGGGACAGGATATCCAATGTAAAAATCCAAAAGGATTCTCGTTGTAACAACAGTCTGTTTGTGTCTCCTCCTCGTCTCGGACGTTTTACGTGTTCAATTCCTTGGTATGTGAGGGATGCCACGCTGTGTTTTGCCTGCAGAAAATGCATAGCCACTGGACTCTTGGGGTCCTGATTGCGTATGCTGCATCTGTGTTCTGCGATGTGTGTTTTTAATGCTCTATTCGCTTTCCCCACATATCCCAAACCACACGGACATTTAAGCAAATATACTACATTAGTAGTGGCGCACGTGATAATGCCTTTAATGTCAAAACGCTTCCCCGTGAGGGGATGCGTAAAAGCGTGGCTCTTCGTGGTGAAGTTACACTGTGCACAACTTGCACATCTGTAATTTCCATCTGGAACATGTCTGAAAAAAGTTTCTTGTCTTTGGGGGAGAAGATCTGATTTTACCACAATTTGTCTGATGTTAGGGGGGCATTGTCTACCACTCTGGGCATGTCTTTGAATGTTGTAGATAACTTTGGATCACTGCTCAGGAGATACCAATGTTTTTTTAAACCTTGTTCAAACTCCCTTCCTAGAGTCGAGTATTGTAGGATGCATAAAGGACTGTTGTTGGAAGAGTTATTCCTTGTGGATTGCAGGCACTGATCTTGTGTTATATTCTTAAATCTTTCCCGTGCTTGTCTCAGCTGGTCCTGTGGATAGCCTCTTTCTTTAAAGCGCATATCCAGAAGGTCCGCTTGTTCTTCATTGTCCGCGTCCTCACTGCACAGTCTCCAAATGCAGTTATGTTGGCTGATCGGGAGGCTTTGTTTTAAAGAAGGTGGATGGAAACTGTTGGCTCTTAATAGCACATTTCTGTCTGTGGGTTTTTTTTTATATACAGTTGTTTTGAAACATGTCTCCTCTCTTGTAATCAAAATGTCGAGATAATTAATTTCTCTCCTGTTGAACGACATTGTAAATTTTAATGATTGATTACAACTATTAATCCATCGGAAGAATTCATTCAGATCTTGTTCACTTCCAATCCACAATAAAAATATATCATCAACATAACGTCGCCATAGTTTAATGTGGGACAAGAAAGGATTGTTGGAACCAAAAACCATGTCTTGTTCAAATAAACCTATAAATAGACCAGCATAGTTAGGAGCCATCCGACTCCCCATCGCCGTGCCACGCACTTGGAGAAAATAGTCACTCTCAAACATGAAAAATTCCTAGTGAGGACTAGTTCAGCCAATTCTCTGACACAGTGTGTGGTGGTTGAAGACTGCGGGGCACGTTTATTTAGAAAGTAGGTGAGTGCTTGAAGCCCATATTCATGGGGGATACAGGTATATAAATTTTCAACATCCAGAGTAACCATGATAATCTCCCCATCAACACTGTCAATGACTTTAAGAGTGTTTATCATATCCATGGAGTCTCTTACATAAGATGGAAGAGAGAAAACATGGGGTTTTAGCAAAGAGTCTACATAGGTAGAGATTTTCTCTGCTCTCACCAGAGTGACAGGATGATCTATTTTCATAAAATCAAAAACACCCTTATCAAATTCTCCATTATCAAAGAAATACTTTAATTTGTTATGAATCTCTGTTTTGAAAAGAGTAGTGGGATTAGATGACAGCTTTTTATAGAAAGTGCTATTAAGAGCCGACAGTTTCCATCCACCTTCTTTAAAACGAAGCCTCCCCATCAGCCAACATAACCACATTCGGAGACTGTGCAGCGAGGACGCGGACAATGAAGAACAAGCGGACCTTCTGGATATGCGCTTTAAAGAAAGAGGCTATCCACAGGACTAGCTGAGACAAACACGGGAAAGATTTAAGAATATAACACAAGATCAGTGCCTGCAATCCACAAGGAATAACTCTTCCAACAACAGTCCTTTATGCATCCTACAATACTCGACTCTAGGAAGGGAGTTTGAACAAGGTGTAAAAAAACATTGGTATCTCCTGAGCAGTGATCCAAAGTTATCTACAACATTCAAAGACATGCCCAGAGTGGTAGACAATGCCCCCCTAACATCAGACAAATTGTGGTAAAATCAGATCTTCTCCCCTAAAGACAAGAAACTTTTTT